CGGAAATCGGCCCGATTATGATCGGTGACTGATCGATCGGCACACCTCTAGATCAGTCTTACACACCACTCTTTTCCAAAATTCAGACTCAAATTCCAAAAACTCTCCATGTTATGTTTCACGTTGATTAAATGACTGTTATGTTACAAGAAAAATAGAAATCTCTTAAAAAAAAGGGTGAAAAGAGTCTCAGTATCACACTAAGATAATTATCCGAGTCCATATTGTACAACTGCTAAAAACATTTTCTATTATTATTATGAATGATATTTTATTGTGTAAACTGATGAATGATTATAAGAATGCATCCACTCAGTGTTATTTGTAGTTATGAAGGCTGCTTCAGCTACCTTGGCAGTTTAATGGGTTTAAACCTTTTGTCATTTGCCAATGTCGCTGCTGAGAACTGCGGTAGATCAGAGCAGAGTGCACTGCTGATTAATGCAAAAATCACAATATTTTTTTTATAACCAAAAACATTATATAATAAATGATTTTGACCTTGTACAATGTTAAGATTTCGATCTTTGAGCTATTCATCCAACCAAAAGACGAGTTGACTTGCCTACTTTCCTGTTCATGTATTTCTTGTAGCCTTTTTTCCCTCAGGTTTTCTCAGAACACGACATTAACTCACCCGATCCCCATGTCCCATCAGTGCTTATGTAATCCCATTTGCTGGTGCTCTGATTAGAACCATTCTGGCTCCTTTTGACTGACTCCTATTGTTTTTAGCCATTTCTAGCTAGCAAGTATAACATTGTGAGCAACTGGCAAAAGAGGGGACAACATTGAAGGGGCTCAACGCCTGCAGTGTTGGTCCCCTTTTTACTTCCAAAACAAGTTTAACCTCTTGAGGCATGGACTTCACTAGCACTGTTACCACCTTAAAATATGTTCAGCGACTTTTCAGACCCTTCAAGTTAATTTTTTTTTTTTTTTTTTAAACGACTAGTGACAAATCTAATTGCTTTTTTGTTACTGGAGAGTTTGGTAACAAGACATGAAAGCTCCAAGGTAATTGTCCAGAGGAAACAGTGAGTGCCACCAGGAGCCCCTCCCACTTCCCAATCACTGTAGTCACAGTCGTCCTGCAGTCATTGTAGAGAAGATATCCGTTTAATTTCATGTTCACAATGCAAATGAATCATGCATGTGCAAAGCTACCGCTGAACCCGCCCTCAGTTATAAAGTATGATGCAAATAGATTTTTTTTCCACTGACATCGTTGTTGCACTAAAATAATTCCCTGCATTTGGATCCAACAGCCTTAGTCACCTATTGCTATTTAAAGTTGTGAAATTATTTTGTAAAGCACATTTTTAGTTCTATACATATTTAGAATGTTTTTGTCTCTCTCTCCCACTACAGCTTGGATCACTTGACCAAATATGCAAATTGGACTCCTCCTTTGATTCATGTTGACCACCACAGCTCTAGAATACCCTACAAGAACTGTAGCTTTGGAGATTCTGACTCAGCTGGCTAACCATTATAATTTGGCCTTTCCTAAACACACTAAAACTTTTGTCCTTAAAAAGGGCAGATCATCAACTTTTATCCTTGATGATCTGCCCTTTTTCTAGCACAAAATTTGTCAAAATGTTAACTTCATACATGATATGTCCCATTAACAAAGAAGAAGTGTCATTCGCTGTAAGGCCATTGCCTAATAGCAGTTCAGTATTTGCAGATGAGCTTATTTGCAGATTTTTCTGTGGAACACAACTCTAATTATTTGAGCCTATTTGCAGATTTTTTCACAGAGCATATCTAAACTATTATTTTATTTAAGTATGAAATATTAATTTCAATTAAATATTTCTGATTTTCCTTGCCGTTAATTGGGTGTACCCTCAAAAGCAAATATAAAGAAGACTGTGGATATCAGCTTTTGTGGTAGCACCAAGATGGTTTATGCTGTGTGTATTTATGCATGTTAAAGTGTAATTGGTGTGTGAACAATTAAAACAAGCAAGTTTTAGAGGGGATAGTTAAGTGTAACTAATTCCTAAATTAACTATTTTGCAGATAAATTGCCTAAATTGGGGTTTTATCTTTGTGTTTCTGTGCAAATTTTTACATTTTCATTTAAATTTGTTTAATGCTGCAATAATTTACCTCAGGATGCAGTAGCCATCGTTAGGTTGATGGCTATTGCAGTTGAATATTCGTATTGATTACAACTGTACAGCTTGGTTAGTGACCATGTCATATAGGTAAAAAAAGAAAAAAAAAATCATCTCACTCAGAGACCTGCTCCCTTGGCGAGTCAGGAGTTGGAATTGCAAGTGGGGCAAGCACTGAGTGATAGCGTTTCTCAGCTTTGCACATGTATGATTTATTTGCAACGTGGACACGGAGTGGAATGACACTCCTCTGTTCCGTACCAGGGGTCCACTGTACATGTTTCCATATGCCTGCATACTGTGCATTTAGAATCCCCGCTCTTTTCCCCCAGTATGTTCAACCTCTTTTGATTGTTTTAGGCACTCTATGACAAATAGTACAAGGACTAATAATCAAAAGTGCTCAAGGCAAAAGATTTTTCTTTGATCTCAAAGTTTAAAAAAAAAGAAAAAGGATACATAAACATGTTTTTCTTTAAAATTGCTGTAAAAATATGACAACCTATTAATGTTTTAAGCAGACTTTAAAGATTCCCTCAGGATGTCCTGGACCTTTAGACTTAATATCAAAGACCGCTACATAGCCAGGAAAAAAAAAAAAAAAAAAACACAGCTTCAGATTTGATTCCATAATGCCAATGTATAAAAACTCAAACCCACATACACTGTTGTGAACACACTCGCATTCACACGATAACACCCCATCTTTCACCCCTTCCTGTCATGCCTCCAACCAAATTAGATTGTGATTGCTCTTTCCGAGGTCACTTTTAATTAAAGTGAGATGAGAACATGACACATGGGATTAAGCCCCATCCTACCACTACAAATTATGAATTCATAACTAATGCTACAGCCTATTGCTTTCAACCATGACCTCCATATCAATTATGTATAAGAGCAAAGGAACTTCTCTAATTGTCTTCTGCAGCGATAAAGAACTTGATGGGATATGGGGTTTAGGGGTACCTGCTGGATGCAGATTTGTAGTATTTGGATGGAAGTAGTTGGAACATATGTGAGAAGGTAAATTAAATCAAACTAATGTACAGTAAACGGGATATATATTCTCGTTTAATTTGAGTTGTTTTACAATGGACCCTGAAGTAGCAGGCGAGAGAAAGAGACATTTATTATATTAATACTCTTCTGGCAGATCCAGGGCATCACAGTAAAAGCTCCAACGGCTTCCTATTTTTTTTAGATAATGTAATTAGTAGCATGATGAGGAGCTAACATTAAAACCTTTATAACTGATCTTTACTCGGGTATAAAGAGTGCAGTTAAGTCAATAAAACGTGACAATGATAATGCAATCTATAAGAATTGGTTAAAAAAATGCTTCTTGCTGTTCTAATTACACTCAAATCATATAGATCATGTAGTCTCATCCCTTAAAACACTGTAAAGTGAATATGTTTTAAATGAAAACTTCTGCTTACAACGTCATTCACACACAGATAAAGGTTTCAGTTGATAGTATGTTGATGGTCCACTCATTTAGTGAAACATAAATGCAGAACAGGCAAAAGAACCGTCCTTCCTTACCTCAGTGATGAAGGCCTTGGCAGTAGCTGGGCTCATGAATAGCACTGCTCTCCGTAGCGTATCTCTGTATCGATGCAGCTCCTCTACACGCATCGTTCTGAAAAGACCTGTGATCATCATGTTGACATTAGATTCCACCTTTTGAAGGGACACGTCCATTCCTTGCTGAGAGGTACGGTCCAGAAAATCCTCAATACCACGGATGTCTGAAGAGAAAGAGAAACGTGCATAAGCACAAGTGACCATAACTTTGGTTTTGCCATAACAATAATGTTCTTTACAGGGTATTTGCAAACGGAGAAACATGGGGTTCAAAATGAAATATATTAGAATAAATAAACTGATCACTGATACAAATATGAAAGCTACCACTAATGACTTTATATCATTTTCTCTGTCGAGGAAAATGTGTTGTCTCTCTGCATGAGTAAATTCAGCAAATATTCTAATTCATAAGCTCTCATTCGCTCAGTGCATACATCTAAATCAAGTGTCATTCATCATGCTAATCTGATCAGCAGTTTATTTTGTCCACACAAGTTTATTCATCAGAACTAGATATATTTCTGTCTTCAATCTTGAAAGGGTACCAGACAAACTTTCCCCCCACAAACAGTTTATTGAAAATGTTGTTAAAATATTAATCAGACATGAATCAACATTTGATTTGAAATAAACCTTTACGTTTTTTTTACGTAGTAGTTTTTCCATAGTCAACTTTCAGCAGGGCCACATTTGTCGAGTGCGCCACTATTAGCTGAAGTGGGGATAACTGTAGGTGTTTAAGATTCCCAATAACTTTATCCATGACATGTGCCTGTTTGTTTAGTCTTAAGTCTTCAGTTAGTATAAAGCGTTTTGCGAAGCACTGCATGTGCCAGAGTGTATAAAGCCTTGCTGAGTCACATCACAAACATCTGAAAGCAATTTTATTTTAGCAGTGACTGGAAAGGCATTAACTCTCCTGTGAGTAGTATCAAACCTTGGAAAGAGGATAAGGATAAGGTGTATGAGGAAATGGAGACACTGTGCTCTAACCAGAAAGAGGGGGGTGAGCGTCAATGAAAGGTTTGTCCCAGCAAACATTTCATCGTGCAACTATTTCTGAACATTTATGACATTGCTCGATAGTTGTCATACGTCATATTTAATCAGGAGTGTGCTGAATCGGTTGTCAGTGAGCCATACAGGATGATAGCATGTTTCATGGAATGATTGCAGATAAATATTTGTCCTACATACATTTGAAGTGACATCAGCTTAAAAAGGTTAACCTGGTTAAAAAAAGAATAAAAATGGAAATTGGACCCAATGTTGATGACTATAATCAATAATTCCACGAAGGATTAAATTAGTCTTAAGCATCAACTAATCCAGCTGTAAAAATAATATATTGTAATTGTTGGTGTGTGTGAAGCACAGGATCAAAACTTTACTGACTTCTGGATATGTGTAGGTGATATTTTACTCATCACAAATCATCTTACACTACTGGAGCTTTATTCCTTTTTCCCTGTAATGTCTCTACTTGCACATATAACCTGTAAATATCATGGCACAACCATTCCATAGTGAGTCACAATGTGCCAGTTACCTACAAACACTTTCCACATGTTGCCAAGTCTGGATTCTCAGATCCTGCGACAAAATGCAGTAGTTAAAATATCAGTCTGTTACTGTGTCATGCCTCTTGTCCTTCATTCGATTTTTATTGTAAAATCTGGTTCACAGACAAATGTCATTAAGAATGATCAAAAAGTGCCAAACAATCTTATTATCTAATGGAGATAGTCCAAACTGCACAGTTTTAACTTCCTGAGCTTGGCACTTTGTAGACCATCGGTCTGTCGCTGCAAAAGGTCCAGCTGGAAACACAGCAGACAATTCTGGATATCAGAAGAAACATAAAGGTGTCCATTATAGTTAATCTGAGACTTTGAGATTGCCGACTAGTAGCGGCTAGTAAGCTGGCCGCTTACTAGTCACTAAGCGGCCAGCGCTTAGTGACTATAGTATTGGTGAAAGCCAG